ATAGAGTTCAAAAGCATCTACGAGGCCTTGTGGGTAATTAAATGTTTTCCAGCCTATAACTCTTTTCTCACAGAGGAAACTTTGAGAGTCTCCCGTTGCTTTATTGCTACTTCAATATGTTCTGACGAAATATATTCCTTAATCCGACCAGCCCTGATCTGTGCAATTGGGACCCGCCATACGACATACACAAGAGTGAATCATCCCCATTCCCTTTGTATTCCAATCTTCAAGTCTAGGGTTAACCGTTATCCTTCCTGGATAGACCCATGAACTTTACTTCTTGCCCTTTCTTACTCTCGTACAGTAACCATCTACTTTGAGTGGCTCTTGAGTCTTGTATTGGGAGAACATTAGTATTATGTCAGGGCAGCAGTCAGGATAGTGTTGGATTTGCGTTCCGATTATCAGATAAGATGATGCAAGTTGACTCACCACCCCTCCTTACTCTCTTCTCCACCACACTTTGTAAAATCCTGTCTGTGGAAAGTTGGTCTATTGAACCTCTCTAGATCCGTTTCCCCTATCGCTGCTCTCTTGCTATTTCCATGGCAAATGTTCAGATGTCGTTCCTTCTATAATTTCACCAGTTAAGACCTTTACTGCTAGAACATGCCCATACTACGCCCATGCAACCGAATCAGCCTCATTTCCCTGTATTTCAAATGTAAGAAGAAAGTTACACTTATAGAGCTTTTTTCTAAGAACAGCTTCCCTGAACATTTCATTTATAACCTCTTCAAGTCAAAGGTCAATCGTTATCTATCCTCCTTATCGCAATAGTATTCAGTTCCTACCATCTCTTCTTTCATTCATATCACACACCTCATTCATCATAACCACTTTAATAGTAGCCCTCTACCTTGTGTTACTCTCGAGCTTTGTATATATGAAAACACATACCAACTCTCAAGGCATCCGTAGTAAGACCACGACGCTGTAGAATTAGGGAAAGTTAATCTGGTAAGTATAACCTTCGACAAATAAATTCTATGTTATTGTTTCAAAAAGCAAGACTCGGTTGTATCGTAAAACACGCTTTTCCTCCCATAACTCACACTAAGAAAGTTTCAATCAGCTTCACATAAGACCTCCTCAGAATTAAAACTTAAACACAATGGAGATTGACAAAGCCGACTGAGTGAAAACCCAAGCACTGATTTATAGCTTTATGCAGGAAACTTTCATTATGGGGCTCAAAATAAAGTAGTGTCTAGACTTGAATTTCATTGACATCGATTATCGCGTGAAAAAAGTATTTGCCTAAGATCTCTGACATTGGCATCAAACTGGTTTGCTTCCTGTACAATATCAGCCGCTTGTTATTGTGTAAAATCTCCAACACTAATTTTAAAATTCAAACTACACTTTCTGATAAACAAATAAAACTTGTCATATCTGTTCAGTTACGGCTGGTGATAAATAAATAGAGTGGAATGATCAGAAGAACCTGATCATGAGACAATAATAAAGTTTGATGTGAATCAACGTGGGTGATCTGTTTGAACCACTGTCTTGTCAGTCAAAGGTATAAAGCCAATAATAATTTAGATTGGACCTACGCTTGGCCTCCTGCTTTTATAAGACGACAGCGTAAGAATAAAACGCTGTCTACAATGTTTCCGTACAAATTCAATATACACGGCTGGGATATTGTCCAATTATCTCGTATCCAGCCAAATAATTAGTCTTGTCGATCATATCAGATCGACAATGACCAAAAGATCGTAGAATTTATTTGACAAATCATTGTTTCCTTTTGGATAAGTGTAAGTTTCCGTTATTTATGATGTATATTCCTGACCCACTTTGAATGAAAGGACTTTTCATGTCAGTTTGTTTGAGTTTGTATAGAAGATTTTACCTGTGTGTATACATGTGTGTATCAATCTGTGTAATACAGATTCTCATTAAATAATTACTTGGAGAAGATGGCATTTTCAAATACAAAACTGTTAAATTGTTAAGTAGTTATGAATAAGAAATAGCAAATATTTTTCCGAAACCATTACCTTCGTGTCTTGCAGTTCTAAGCTCTCTTATTGGGAAATGTTAGCTGTAAATTCGTATCGTTAAAATAACTGCCAAATTTTAATTATTTTGAAATTGTATTGGTTTCATTTTCTGTATTTTTAATCTGCTAATAAGATTATCTGAGCTTTTTATGTGGGAAGGACGAAGGGACGCCAACGTTTAATACGTGAAGAAATCAAGAAATAAATAAAAAAAATGAACACATGTCATGACGAAAACTAAGAGAACACCATCTGAGCACACGTACACCTTACGGATTACCAAAAGTACATAAACTAAAATTTCCGATGGGGTGCATAATATCAGGAACAGTTATCCGGAACATTAGCCAAAATATTTACCCTACAACTCGATATAATTATTTTCTTATAATAGTTTAAAAACAGATATAAAAGACAAATGTCTTGCCAGTTCATCTAAAAAAAAAAATTACAAATGACTCTATAAATATACTTTAATCTACTCG